CTGGACCAAACTTGGCACAAATATTCCATATGCCCAAAAATGCACACAAATGGAGTTTGGGGAAATAGACCTTGACAATTGGAAGTTGTAGTTACTAGGATTTATAGTTTACCTACAATCAAAGAGCATTCTGAACCCCACCAATGATGGAATTGGGTCAAACTTGACACACAGAACCGCCATGACCAACAGAAAATACTTAAGGCCATCCAGTCCAACTCTCTTCACCAGCGCAAGAAAACGTAATCAAAGCCCACCTGACAAAGAGCCTTCCAGCCATAGATATAGGATATATATGATTCATGCACACTGATATATAGTATCATAGATTTGAAAGAGACCCTTAAAGAAGGACAATGATATGTTGCATATTCCAGAGTACGCAAACCAGACACTCTCCACATCAACACTGACAAAGAAACAGCAAGAAATACTGTTAGAATCATAGAATCAAAGAGTTGGAAGAGACCTCATGGGCCATCCAGTCCAACCCCTTTCTGCCAAGAAGCAGGAATATTGCATTCAAATCACCCCTGACAGATGGCCACCCAGCCTCTGTTTAAAAGCTTCCAAAGAAGGAGCCTCCACCACACTCCGGGGCAGAGAGTTCCACTGCTGAACGGCTCTCACAGTCAGGAAGTTCTTCCTCATGTTCAGATGGAATCTCCTCTCTTGTAGTTTGAAGCCATTCTTCCCTTGCGTCCTAGTCTCCAGGGAAGCAGAAAACAAGCTTGCTCCCTCCTCCTCCCTGTGGCTTCCTCTCACATATTTATACATGGCTATCATATCTCCTCTCAGCCTTCTCTTCTTCAGGCTAAACATGCCCAGCTCCTTAAGCCGCTCCTCATAGGGCTTGTTCTCCAGACCCTTGATCATTTGAGTCACCCTCCTCTGGACACATTCCAGCTTGTCAACTCTCACATATTTATACATGGCTATCATGTCTCCTCTCAGCCTTCTCTTCTCCAGGCTAAACATGCCCAGCTCCTTAAGCCGCTCCTCATAGGGCTTGTTCTCCAGACCCTTGATCTGCTCCCTCCTCCCTGTGGCTTCCTCTCACATATTTATACATGGCCATCATATCTCCTCTCAGCCTTCTCTTCTTCAGGCTAAACATGCATGGCCCAGATGTGGCTGCTCCTTAGGCCGCTGCCTCATAGGGGGGGACACATTGTTCTCCAGACCCTTGATCATTCTTGACATTCCAGCTTGTCAAGATCACTTCTGACCAAAAGGTCATGAGTTCGAAGCCAGTCCGGGTCGGAGTGAGCTTCCGACCAATTGTGTAGCTTGTTGTCGATCTTTGCAACCCGAAAGACAGTTGCATCTGTCAAGTAGGAAATTTAGGTACCACCTATGTTTGGAGAAGCTATTTTAAATAATTTATGAGGCCATAAAAAAGACTCATAAATGTGGAAGTACTTCATCAGTGTCACAGATGGACGATGAAAGCGACAGCTCCTCTAGCGGCCAGAAAAGTTAAATAGCCTCTGACTGTCTGCCTATATCTGTTGTGTGTCTTTGGCATTGAATGTTTGCCATATATTGTAATCCGCCTGAGTCCCCTGGGGTGAGAAGGGCAGAATATAAGGTTTTAAATTTTTGTGTGTGATTGCTTATATGTGAGTTATATTAATTGTACTGTTTTATTTGCTTGCTGTTTTGTTGTTTTACTGATGTGTTGTTGGGCTTGGCCTCATGTATACCGCCCCAAGTCCCCTTGGGGAGATGGTGGCGGCAGCAAAAAAAGCCAATGGGATTTTGGCCTGCATCAATAGGAGCATTGTGTCTAGATCTAGGGAAGTCATGCTACCCCTCTATTCTGCCTTGGTTAGACCACACCTGGAATATTGGTCCAATTCTGGGCACCACAATTCAAGAGAGATATTGACAGCTGGAATGTGTCCAGAGGAGGGCGACTAAAATGATCAAAGGTCTGGAGAACAAGCCCTATGAGGAGCGGCTTAAGGAGCAGGGCATGTTTAGCCTGAAGAAGAGAAGGCTGAGAGGAGATATGATAATGGCCATGTATAAATATGTGAGAGGAAGCCACAGGGAGGAGGAGGGAGTAAGCTTGTTTTCTGCTTCCTTGGAGACTAGGACGCAATGGAACAATGGTTTCAAACTACAAGAGGAGATTCCATCTGAACATGAGGAAGAACTTCCTGACTGTGAGAGCCATTCAGCAGTGGAACTCTCTGCCCCGGAGTGTGGTGGAGGCTCCTTCTTTGGAAGCTTTTAAACAGAGGCTGGATGGCCATCTGTCAGGGGATGCTTTGAATGCAATTTTCCTGCTTTTTGGCAGAATGAGGTTGGACTGGATGTCCCATGACGTCTCTTCCAACTCTAAGATTCTATGATTCTAAGGATTCTAAGGATTTCTGTGTTTGATTTATTAAAATATTCCCATCTCAACCCAGTTCAACCCTCATTTGTTATACTCTGCTATTTTGCATTATATTATTATTATTATTATTATTATTATTATTATTATTATTAAACTTTATTTGTACCCCGCTAGCATCTCCCAGGACTGACCTTGAAGGAGCTGGGGGTGGTGACGGCCGACAGGGAGCTCTGGCGTGGACTGATCCATGAGGTCACAAAGAGTCGGAGATGACTGAACGAATGAACAACAACAACTGTTCCAAGCAACTGGCGGCTTACAAAGGCCAAGGCCTCAACACAACAACAACAACAAGCAATAACAATACAATTCAAAGCAAATTAAAAAATTAAAAACATAAGCAATAACAAACATTACACCATTACACAATAAAACCAGGGCCGGGCCAGTGATGGGTACAGGTTAAAAAGTGCTGGTTGTGGCTGGTGGTATGTTGGATTTCTGGGCAAGTACAATGTGCTTTGATTTATTTTATCATGCTTTATTTGATGTACATTGTTGTTGTTCATTTGTTCAGTCGTCTCCAACTCTTCGTGACCTCATGGACCAGCCCACGCCAGAGCTCCCTGTCTGGCCGTCACCACCCCCAGCTCCTTCAAGGTCAGTCCAGTCACTTCAAGGATGCCATCCATCCATCTTGCCCTTGGTCGGCCCCTCTTCCTTTTACCTTCTACTTTCCCCAGCATAATTCCCTTCTCTAGGCTTTGCTGTCTCCTCATGATGTGGCCAAAGGACTTCAACTTTGTCTCTAGTCTCCTTCCCTCCAGTGAGCAGTCGGGCTTTATTTCCTGGAGGATGGACTGGTTGGATCTTCTCGCAGTCCAAGGCACTCTCAGCACTTTCCTCCAACACCACAGCTCAAAAGCATCTATCTTCCTTCGCTCAGCCTTCCCTAAGGTCCAGCTCTCACATCCGTAGGTTACTACAGGGAATACCATGGCTTTGACTATGTGGATCTTTGTTGCCAGTGTGATGTCTCTACTCTTTACTATTTTATCGAGATTGGACATTGCTCTCCTCCCAAGAAGTAAGCGTCTTCTGATTTCTTGGCCACAGTCTGCAGCTGCAGTAATCTTTGCACCTAGAAATAAAGTCTGTCACGGCCTCCACATTTTCTCCCTCTATTTTCCAGTTGTCAATCATTCTTGTTGCCATAATCTTGGTTTTTTTGATGTTTAGCTGCAACCCTGCTTTTGTGCTTTCTTCTTTCACCTTGACTTAGAAGGCTTCTCAGCTCCTCCTCTGCTTTCGGCCATCAGAGTGGTGTCATCTGCATATCTGAGGTTGTTAATGTTTCTTCCAGCAATTTTCACCCCAGCTTTGCATTCATCCAGCCCCGCACATCCTCGCATGATGTGTTCTGCATACACGTTAAAAAGGTTGGGTGAGAGGATGCAGCCTTGCCGTACGCCTTTCCCAATCTTGAACCAGTCTGTTGTTCCGTGGTCAGTTCTGACTGTTGCTACTTGGTCCTTGTACAGATTCCTTGATGTACATTATTTTATGATTTTATGTTGTATTCTTTTGCTTTACTGTAACTGTTGGGCTTGGCCTCCTGTAAGCTACCCTGAGTCCCCTTGGGGAGATGGAGGTGAGATATAAATAAAACTTTATTATTATTATATGGAACTCTCTGCCTGGGAGTCTGGTGGCTCTCCTTCCTTGGAAGCTTGAGACAGAGGGCTGGAGGCCGATCGGGTGGGGTGATCTGAATGGCAAATATTCACTTGCTTCTGCAGATAGGGGTTTGACATGAGATGGCTCATGAGGTCTCTTCCAATCTCTTGGATTCATCAGTGGAACTCTCTGCCTGGGAGTCTGGTGGAAGCTCCTTCCTTGGAAGCTTTGAGACAGAGGCTGGATGGCCATCTGTCGGGGATACTTTGACGGTGCCTTCCTACCTGGCAAGGGGTTGGACTGGGTGAGCCATGGGCTCTCTCCCAAGTCTATGATTCTATGATTCTGGGATTCTAAGTGGCTGGTATCCCCCAAAATGGGCTTTGACGCAATTGTGACCAAGTCACGCTTTGACGCAATTGTGACCCTCCAGCTGAGAAAGTCTTCCACTTCTTGGTGTCCCTTATTGTCCATCTTCTGGGCCAGGCTTGCCCCTCCAGATCCCCCCCAACCGAGACCCAAAGCCCTCCACCCTCCAACTCTGGGACCCCCCCCCCCCTCTTTTGTGGCGAAGGGAAAGGCTTAAAAATAGCCTGGGAGGCTGGGGAGGCGCAAAGTTGGAGACTCTTGGGGATCCTCAAGGGGAAGAAGGGAGGAGAAGGAGTGGTAGGGGAAAGGGGGCTGTCTGCGTGCCCCCCCATCCAATGGGCACCCCGTGGCCATCCGGGCGCCCAATCCGGAGTGTCGTGTCTATCGGAGAGGCCGGGCTTGGAGGGGGCGTGGGGCGCGCGTGGGGGGTGCGGGTGCCGAGCCCGGCGCGCCTGCTTCCCCGTTTCGTTGTATATGGTCAGAGCGGAGGCATTCCTGGGAGTCCTGGGCCCTGACGTGGAGGAAGAGGGAAGGGGGAAGGGGGGGGGTCCGTGGGAGGGGAGGGGCCTGCCCAGGAGGGGAGGGGAGGGGGCGCCTTAGAAAAGCCCCTCCTGGCCCTCGAAGGGACACTCTCCGGCGTGCGGCTCAGGGCGCATCGCTCCCTCGCTCGGCTCCTCGCCTGCCTGCCTTCCTTCTCCAAGAGGAAAAGACAACCCAGGACCCCACTCGTGTTCCTGCCTGATTTCCGCGTCTCTTTCGGGAAATTTCTCACACCTTTGGAGCGCTTTCCCTTCGACCAGGAAACTTGCGAAAAGTGGGAGAGCTTGTTTTGTGCCTCTCTCTCTTCCTTCCTCGGGTGAGTTCCACTCCTGTGACTTCGCCAACTTCCCACGCAGGATTTGGGCTGCTCTTGCCGGACAGCCCTCCCCTCAACGGGTCACTTCCAGCCCTCCACTTTCAGCATCTTCTCAGCTGGGGAAACCCTTCGGACCGGTCACTTTCTCTCCTCGAAGCTGTCCCCTTTCAGGATCTGAGCTGGTCACTTGTCTTTTGGACTGGTCAGTTTCTCTCCTCTGAGCTGATCAACTTCAGTGTCTTCTGAGCTGGTGGATTTCTGGTCAACTGAGTCTGAGTGGGTCAACCCATCCATCAGTTTCTCTTCTCTGGGAGTGGAGGGACTTCAGCCTCTTCTGAGCTGCTCAGTCCCCATCCTCTGGCCGTGTCCATTTGAGCCTCTTCTGAGCTGGTCACTTTCACTCATCCTCTGGACTCCTTCCTTCCCACCACTCCTCTTCAGCCTCTCCTGAGCTGATTGGTTTCAACCGTACTTTCCATCTGTTGGGCAGGTTGATTCCTTGTTTGGATACATTATTGTCCATCCTGTGAATTGGTCGATTTCAGCATCTTCTGACCTGCTTGGTGTCTCTTCCTTGTCCACCTAGATCCACCCACAACCATGAACAGCAACAGCTACTACGACCAGTCCCCGGCGGCCTATGGCTCGGGCGAGGAGCAGGACGAGATGCCGGCCACCGAGAAGGACCTGGCCGAGGACGCGCCCTGGAAGAAGATCCAGCAGAACACCTTCACCCGCTGGTGCAACGAGCACCTCAAGTGCGTCAACAAGCGCATTGGTGACCTCCAGAAGGACCTGAGCGACGGGCTGAAGCTCATTGGCCTCCTCGAGGTGCTGAGCCAGAAGAAGATGTACCGCAAGTACCACGCCCGGCCCAACTTCCGCCAGATGAAGCTGGAGAACGTCTCCGTGGCCCTTGAGTTCCTGGACCGGGAGCACATCAAGCTGGTCTCCATTGGTGAGTCTGGGTGCCCATGTATGTAGTGGTGTTGTGACACTGCTGTCCCACCTACTTTGCCATGCTTCTATTCTGGCAAGTCCTGGGATTTGTAGTCCAGAATTCAGAGCTGGTACAAATCCCAGGATTGTGCAATAATTGTGCAGTGCGATAATTGCTAGCGCATTGCAATTCTGCTTTCACTACCATGCTGCTGTCCTATGGAACCTTTCATTGAACCATAATATTTCAAATGGGATTTGTAGACGGTGCTATAGTCCTGCTATTCCATCTTCATTGCCATGCTTCCACCCTGGCAAGTCCTGGGATTTATAGTTCAGAAGTTAGAGCTGGTACAAATCCCAGGATTCCATGAGGTGGAGCCAAGGCAATGTGATAATTGTGCAGTGCGATAATTGCTATCGCATTGCAATTCCGCTTTCGCTACCATGCTCTTAACCTATGGAACCCTGCTTTGAACCATAACAGTTCAAATGGGATTTGTAGACAGCGCTGTAGCACTGTTTTTTCACTTTCATTGCCATGCTTCTGTCCTTTTGAGTCCTGGGATTTATAGTCTAGAAGTTAGAGCTCATACGAATCCCAGGATTCATGAGGTGGAACCAAGGCAGTGTGATAATTGTGCAGTGCGATAATTGCTATCGCATTGCAATTCTGCTTTCGTTACCATGCTCTTGTCCTATGGAACTCTTCGTTGAACCATAATATTTCAAATGGGATTTGTAGACGGTGCTATAGCCCTCCTATTCCACCTTCATTGCCATGCTTCCATCCTAGCAACACCTGGGATTTGTAGTCCAGAAGTCAGAGCTGGTATGAATCCCAGGATTCCATGAGGTGGAGCCAAGGAAGTGCAATAATTATGCTGTGCGATAATTACTATAGCATTGCAATTCTGCTTTCGCTACCATCCTCCCATCCTATGGAACCCTTCAATGAACCACAATAGTTCAACTGGGATTTGTAGACAGTGTTTCCATCCTGGTAAGTCTTGGGATTTCTAGTACAGATGTCAGAGCTGGTATGAAGTCCAGGATCCATGAGGTGGAGCCAAGGCAGCGCGATAATTGTGGAGTGCGATAATTGCTATTGCATTGCAATTCTGCTTTCGCTACCATCCTCCCGTCCTATGGAACCCTTCAATGAACCACAATAGTTCAAATGGGATTTGTAGACAGTGTTTCCATCCTGGTGAGTCTTGGGATTTCTAGTACAGATGTCAGAGCTGGTATGAAGTCCAGGATCCATGAGGTGGAGCCAAGGCAGCGCGATAATTGTGGAGTGCGATAATTGCTATTGCATTGCAATTCTGCTTTCGCTACCATCCTCCTGTCCTATGGAACCCTTCAATGAACCACAATAGTTCAAATGGGATTTGTAGACAGTGCTTCCATCCTGGTGAGTCCTGGGATTTATAGTACAGAAGTCAGAGCTGGTATGAAGCCCAGGATCCATGAGGTGGAGCCAAGGCAGTGCGATAATTGTGGAGTGCGATAATTGCTATCGCATTGCAATTCTGCTTTCTCTCGTCCTATTGCCATGCTTCCATCCTTTCAAGTCCTGGGATGTATAGTCTAGAAGTCAGATCTGGTACAAATCCCAGGATTCCATAAGGTGGAACCAAGGCAGCTCAAGTGGAATCACCATGAGATAATTGTGCAGTGCGATAATTGCTATCGCACTGAGATCCTGCTTTCACTGCCATAGTCCTGTCCTATAGAGCCCTGCAGTGAACCATACCAGTTCAAATGGGATTTGTCTTTTCGGAGTTAGAGACATCTGTGTGACAACATTGTGTGAAACTACAAATCCCAGGATTCTATGGGGTGGAGCCAAGGCAACTCAAGTGGAATCATAACGTGATAATTGCGCAGTGCTTCTCTGCTATAATGCTGCAATTCTGTTTTCACTACTGTACTTCCACCTTTGGAGTCTTGTGATTTGTAGCATAGGAGTCAGGGCCAGCTGTGTCTCCTATAGTTATGAAACTACAAATCCCAGGTTTCAATGGGATGGAACCAAGGTAACTCAGCTGAAATCGTAGTGCAATAATTGTGTAGTGCACATGCGCGCTACGGAGTAACAGCACTGTGATTCTGTTTTAACTGCCATACTTAATTCCTATGGAGCCCTGGGATTTATAGCTTAGAGTCAGCTGCGCTGCAACATTTTGTGAAACTACAAATTGCAAGACTCCATGGGATGGTGCCAAGGCAGCTCAAGTGGAATCATACTGTGATAATTGTGGCACCATGATGCTACCTTAACTACCATTCTGCCATCCAATGGAGTCCTGGGATTTATAGTTTAGGAGTCAACCAGGTGTGCACGAGCATTTCATGAAACTACACATCCCAGGCTTCCATGAGGTGGAGCCAAGACAACTCAAGGAGAATCGTAGTGCGATAATTGTGTAGTGCGATTGTGAACGAGGAGGGTTTTGGCTCACCATTGATTAGTTGTGTGTTATTTTTGCACTATTATAGGACTGTCATACTGCTTTCACTCTCCTGGTATCCTGCTGGGATTTGTAGTTTGGGGTTGGTCTTAGAATGCCCTGTTTGGGTGTCTCTGCGCTACATGGGTGTGCCAATCCGGTATCTCTTTAACAGTTCCAGTCCCATTCTGGTAGAGTTGGGGATTTGTAGTTTGGACGAGAATGGAGGTTGGTACATTGGATTTGGACTTTGTAGTTTGGACTTGAATCTTTTGGGGTATCCATGTAATATCACTATAACTACTCCAGTGGCCTCCAACAGGATCCTGGGAGTTGTAGTTTGGCCAGAATGCTCCACTGGGGTGTTTCTGTATTGCTTGGGTATATCAGTTTCATATCGTTTTACTTGTCATAGCTGCATTCTCTGTATTTTGGGGATTTGTAGTTTGCTCAGGGTTCAAAACACTCTTCTGGAGACCACTGGTGTTTTTCATTTCCCACTCAGCCCTTCTTCTCAAAGTATCTTGCGAACTATAGTTCTGGAAAGAGCACTAGAACATTCTGACACACCCAAGCGAACTACAAATCCCAGGTTCCCATAAATGACAACTAAAGTAGCATCAGGCTTTGCAAGTCCAGGGTATAGACATGGTTTGTATGGAGTCGATTCAAGGATCGTTTCCTGAGTTTTACGGGAACTATTTTTCCCTTGGAAAGCAGGATTTGCAGTTCACCAAGAGTAAGTAGGAAACTGGGTTGTTGTAGGTTTTTTCGGGCTATATGGCCATGGTGTAGAAGCATTTTCTCCTGATGTTTCACCTGGCAAGCATCCTCAGAGGTAGTGAGGTCTGTTGGAACTAGGAAAAAGGGTTTATATATCTGTGGAATGACCAGGGTGGACAAAGGACTCTTGTCTGCTGGAGCTAGGTGTGAATGTTTCAACTGACCACCTTGATTAGCATACAATGCCCTGACTGTGCCTGGAGCAAACTTTTGTTGAGAGGTAGGAAACCTTTGGGATTCTTTGGATTTATCTACACTGCCATATAAAATCCAGATTATCTGATTTGAACTGGATTATATTAGTGTACACTGCCATATAATCCAGTTCAAATCAGATAATCTGGATGCTATATGACAGTGTCAATGGGTCCTTTGACTCATACCAATATCTCAGGCCTGTCTACATTGCCATACAATCCAGATTATCCACATTATCTGCTTCGAAGTGGATTATATCAGCCCACACTGCCATATAATCCAGTTCAAAGCAGATAATGTGGATTATATATCATAGAATCAAAGAGTTGGAAGAGACCTCCTGGGCCATCCAGTCCAACCCCATTCTGCCAAGAAGCAGGAATATTGCATTCAAATCACCCCTGACAGATGGCCATCCAGCCCCTGTTTAAAAGCTTCCAAAGAAGGAGCCTCCACCACACTCCGGGGCAGAGAGTTCCACTGCTGAACGGCTCTCACATATGGCAGTGCAGGCCCCCCTTATAGTGAATGCAGTTTGACTTCACTTTAAGTGAAGGACTCAATGCTATGGAATGATGGGCTTTGTAGTTTTTGCAAGGCTTTGTGCCTTTTCTCTTTCAAAGAATGCTAGTGACTTACCAAACCATAGGATTTAAAAGCCTATTATTGCAATGGAAATGGGGTCAAACTGCATTAATTCAACCATGTAGATGCTCCCCACGAAGCCCTCTTCTCTCTCCGGACAAATGGCGCATTCCTTTGGGACTCTGATGGCGCGCCAGCTTCCCCGGTTACACCGAACGCTTCTTAGTCATGGCTGAAATGTATGACACGGTGGCGCATATTCCGACAGCTGTGGCGTGGTCGGCCCCTGAGAGCGCAGGCTTTAAAATAGCTTCGGATGGGAGGCCTCTTCTCCGAGTTGGAAAGAGCCTTGCTTGGCTCGGCAATGCTTCATGCTTCGGAGACACATGTAGGAAAGAGAGATATTGACAAGCTGGAATGTGTCCAGAGGAGAGCGACTAAAATGATCAAAGGTCTGGAGAACAAGCCCTATGAGGAGCGGCTTAAGGAGCTGGGCATGTTTAGCCTGAAGAAGAGAAGGCTGAGAGAGATATGATAGCCATGTATAAATATGTGAGAGGAAGCCACAGGGAGGAGGGAGCAAGCTTGTTTTCTGCTTCCTGGAGACTAGGACGCGGAACAATGGCTTCAAACTACAAGAGAGGAGATTCCATCTGAACATGAGGAAGAACTTCCTGACTGTGAGAGCCGTTCAGCAGTGGAACTCTCTGCCCCAGAGTGTGGTGGAGGCTCCTTCTTTTGAAGCTTTTAAACAGAGGCTGGATGGCCATCTGTCAGGGGTGATTTGAATGCAATATTCCTGCTTCTTGGCAGAATGGGGTTGGACTGGATGGCCCATGAGGTCTCTTCCAACTCTAGGATTCTATGATTCTTTGAAAGAGCTGCACCACTGTATCATGCACCTTGGTCTGGGGGATTCTGGGAATGACAGTCCCAAAAGGGCCCTTTCCCAATGTTTTGGAAGTCCTTTATTTCCGGAAAGAAAGGTGGCCAAGGA